CCAAACCCCCGAGACGATGACCCTGCGGTCCGTACAATTTAGGGTGTATAGGGTTTAGGGGTTTAGGGTTTATAGGGTTTGGGGGGTTCAGGGCTGATAAGTTTAGGGCTTTTAGGGGTTAGGGCTTAGGGTTATGCTAATGACTTACGAGACCTTGTAAAAGCCTAAAACGCTCGCGCCATCAACAGATCTCAACCCAAGCCCCCGAGTTCCACACTCTGTTGTAACAGACCCTAATCCCAACACTAAACCCACCCAATATAGGGGCCTTGATAATTAGAAACTATAATTCATAATGAGGAGCCGCCAAATTAGTATTGGTACTTATTTAGGCCCCTACATTGAACCCGAACCTCTGAACCCTAAGCCTTACCCTCTGATTCCTTAACCCTATGCCTTAAACCCTAAACTCCTACATCGGAGCCTCCAAACCCGTAAACCCTACACCTCAAACATAAACCCATCTAATCCCGAGCCTCTAAACCCGTAAACCCCAAACCCCAACCAAACCCCCAAAACCCTAAACTCCAATGCCCCTAAACCCAAACCCTAAACTCCTCAACCCACTGAACCCCTAAACCCTAAACTCTGAACCCTCAACTCTAAGCCCCCACGAACCCCAAGCCCTCAAAAGAAGGCCCAAGCGGCACCAGGGATGCAGGCCGCCGGGCCGGTGATGAAGCTGACCATCGCAGTGGCACCCTTTAGGATCCTCGATGTGTTTTAAAGTCTTCTGGGTTTAGGATCCTCGTTGTTCTTTAAAGCTTTCTGGGGTTTAGGATCTTCGTTTTCAAGTTTTCTGGAGTTTAGGATCATCGTTGTTTGGCGCCGCGTTTTGGGTTTATAGGGTGTTTTCAAGGGGTTTAGGGCTTTTTTGGGCTCAGGATCCTCGGCTTATAGGGCTTTTTGGGTTTAGGGGTTAAGGGGCTGAGGAATTTGGGGAGGGGGCGTAGGGTTTGGGGTGTTTTGGGGGTTTAGGGTTTAGGGCAGAGGGGGAGTTTAGGGGGTTTAAATAATTCCAGCTCTCCTACACACAAACCTATCGTCCCGAAGGCTGTGCCGCTCTCCCTCAAGTTTGTTCAATCGCCAAGCATCCCCTCTCTGATCTGATCCTTGATCCAGCCGGTGCCCAGCGCTGCAGTGATTGGCTTCGGTATCGAGAAGCCTCGAACGTTGGATGGTTAGCCCACGAAGCCAAACATCAAACGAATGCCTTTTCAACATCCGTTCAAGATTTTGGCTTACAGGGTTTCGGAGTACCTTCTGGAGAATCCTCTGGATGGCTAGGCTTTCGAACTCTTTCCGTGTCCTGGCAAGCAGATCTCGCCTTGAATGTCGATGTCCACATACAAGTTCACGGCCGCAGCTCCGCACCTCTCTTCTTCAACAAACTAGCCCTGTCAAATGAAATTTTTCTTTGCAGATCCCGAACAGAAGTTCAACAAGTCTAAATCTCTCCTATTTTGCAGAGTCAGACGCATGTCGATGCGGTTCACGCGGCTGGTATTGGAAGTGACGGTTGTCCTCGGGCCAATCCCTCCCATTCAAAGAAACACTCCGACATTTTCCAGAACTCTTATGGAACCTTTTTGAAGAAACCTCATCGAACCCCTTTCCTAGCGCCTCCATAGAGAACCCTTAAAAGAAAACCCACCAAAAGAACCCCCCCCCCC